TTAAAATCAATCTGCTACTCTATTATATTCTATAGAGTTCGATCCAAAACTTGCCCATGCCTTATAGCATAATCTTTTGCTAAACCAAATAAATATCTTAAAAAGGTACATATTTACGTGTAACCACAGACAACAATAATTTACTTGTAAATAAAATACATATACATAGTACATATAAAAGTCCATCTGTATCAGCTTTGACTTTAAAAACCCATAATATTAGCATTTCATGGTTTAGTTAAAAAACTATATAAAATAGTTCGAGCTATTAAAAGTGTCTAGTACAAATTATTTTTGCAATTTTATGCATAAAACCTCATCATCGTCAATGCACCTTAATATACTAAGAATATGCAAATATTTGTCAAGACACATTTTTTAGCATATTTTTCGAAGGAAAAATATTTCTAAACACTTTATGATTTTATCTGCTGTGTATACAAGTAAGTGCTTGGGTACCTATGTATAAATATACTTACTATACATGTATGTATGTACTTTCAGCAACGAACAATAACAACAGCAACTGAATTGCTTTGAAACATTTTACTTTCATTGAAAATAATTTAGTTTGCCACCACTATTTGCACTATTGTAAATTGTTGCAACTACATGAAGCATGTAGTTTAGAAACGTTGCGTGAAGCTTACGAAAAAAAAATAATATATCAAATGTTCATTTATTCAAGAGGACAAGCATGATGACTTGAGACTTAAAGAGGATCATGATGATGATGGTAGAAATCATGACGTTTATGATGCAGTTATGGAAAATATTTGCGCGCATTTAACATTTTGTTTGTTTATTTTGTAAATAGTAAAACTTGTTGTATGCAGTTGGAAAATAACTCCAGTTTATAGAGCAAAGAACATTTTATGATTTATTTGTAAAATATGCAAATAACACGGTCGAATACATTAACTTATTTTTGCTATTTTATATTTACAAAACCTGAATCTATGTGAAAATAAATAAAACAAATAAAACATTATAGTTAGGCATGCCTGACCATATAGCACTTCTACAACCATGATATCCGGAAGGTTGAAGTATACAAAGTATAACGGCTTAGCTGAACTCGTTATCAACAAAGAGTTTTTAAGACTTGAGTTCTAGTACACATCTAATTCAGTTCTAGTTCAGTTCTAGTTCAGTTCTAGTTCAGTTCTAGTTCAGTTCTAGTTCAGTTCTAGTTCAGTTCTAGTTCAGTTCTAGTTCAGCTCTAGTTCAGTTCTAGTTCAGTTCTAGTTCAGTTCTAGTTCAGTTCTAGTTCAGTTCTAGTTCAGTTCTAGTTCAGTTCTAGTTCAGTTCAGTTCTAGTCAGTTCTAGTTCCAGTTTCTAGTTCAGTTCTTCTAGTTCAGTTCTAGTTCAGTTCTAGTTCAGTTCTAGTTCAGGTTTCTAGTTCAGTTCTAGTTCAGTTCTAGTTCAGTTCTAGTTCAGTTCTAGTTCAGTTCTAGTTCAGTTCTAGTTCAGTTCTAGTTCAGTTCTAGTTCAGTTCTAGTTCAGTTCTAGTTCAGTTCTAGTTCAGTTCAGTTCAGTTCTAGTTCAGTTCTAGTTCAGTCTAGTTCAGTTCTAGTTCAGTTCTAGTTCAGTTCTAGTTCAGTTCTAGTTCAGTTCTAGTTCAGTTCTAGTTCAGTCTAGTTCAGTTCTAGTTCAGTTCTAGTTCAGTTCTAGTTCAGTTCTAGTTCAGGTCTAGTTCAGTTCTAGTTTCAGTTTAGTTCAGTTCTGTCAGTTCTAGTTCAGTTCTAGTTCAGTTCTAGTCAGTTCTAGTTCAGTTCTAGTTCAGTTCTAGTTCAGTTCTAGTTCAGTTCTAGTTCAGTTCTAGTTCAGTTCTAGTTCAGTTCTAGTTCAGTTCTAGTTCAGTTCTAGTTCAGTTCTAGTTCAGTTCTAGTTCAGTTCTAGTTCAGTTTCTAGTTCAGTTCTAGTTCAGTCTAGTTCAGTTCTAGTTCAGTTCTAGTTCGTTCTAGTTCAGTTTAGTTCAGTTCTAGTTCAGTTCTAGTTCAGTTCTAGTTCAGTTCTAGTTCAGTTCTAGTTCAGTTCTAGTTCAGTTCTAGTTCAGTTCTAGTTCAGTTCTAGTTCAGTTCTAGTTCAGTTCTAGTTCAGTTCTAGTTCAGTTCTAGTTCAGTTCTAGTTCAGTTCTAAGTTCAGTGTCAGTCTAGTTCAGTTCTAGTTCAGTTCTAGTTCAGTTCTAGTTCAGTTCTAGTTCAGTTCTAGTTCAGTTCTAGTTCAGTTCTAGTTCAGTTCTAGTTCAGTCTAGTTCAGTTTCTAGTTTCAGTTTCTAGTTCAGTTCTAGTTCAGTTCTAGTTCAGTTCTAGTTCAGTTCTAGTTCAGTTCTAGTTCAGTTCTAGTTCATCTAGTTCTAGTATCAGTTCTAGTTCAGTTCTAGTTCAGTTCTAGTTCAGTCAGTTCTAGTTCAGTTCTAGTTCAGTTTCTAGTTCAGTTCTAGTTCAGTTCTAGTTCAGTTCTAGTTCAGTTCTAGTTCCAGTTCTAGTTCAGTTCTAGTTCAGTTCTAGTTCAGTTCTAGTTCAGTTCTAGTTTCAGTTCTAGTTCAGTTCTAGTTCAGTTCTAGTTCAGTTTCTAGTTCAGTTCTAGTTCAGTTATAGTTCAGTTCTCGTTCAGTTATAGTTCAAGTTCTAGTTCAGTTCTAGTTCGGTTTAGTTCGTTCTAGTTCAGTCTAGTTCAGTTCTAGTTCAGTTCTTAGTTCAGTTTTCTAGTTCAGTTCTAGTTTCAGTTCTAGTTAAGTTTCTAGGTTCAGTTCTAGTTCAGTTCTAGTTCAGTTCTAGTTCAGTTCTAGTTCAGTTCCAGTTCAGTTCTAGTTCAGTTCTCTTCAGTTTCTAGTTCAGTTGTAGTTCAGTTCTAGTTCAGTCTAGTTCAGTTCTAGTTCAGTTCTAGTTCAGTGAGTTCACGGTTGTAGTTCCGTTCTAGTTCAGTTCTAGTTCAGTTCTAGTTCAGTTCTAGTCAGTTCTAGTTCAGTTTAGTTCAGTTCTAGTTCAGTTCTAGTTCAGTTCTAGTTCAGTTCTAGTTCAGTTCTAGTTCAGTTCTAGTTCAGTTCTAGTTCAGTTCTAGTTCAGTTCTAGTTCAGTTCTAGTTCAGTTCTAGTTCAGTTCTAGTTCAGTTCTAGTTCAGTTCTAGTTCAGTTCTAGTTCAGTTCTAGTTCAGTTCTAGTTCAGTTCTAGTTCAGTTCTAGTTCAGTTCTAGTTCAGTTCTAGTTCAGTTCTAGTTCAGTTCTAGTTCAGTTCTAGTTCAGTTCTAGTTTCAGTTCTAGTTCAGTTCTAGTTCAGTTCTAGTTCAGTTCTAGTTCAGTTCTAGTTCAGTTCTAGGTTCTAGTTCATTCTAGTTCAGTTCTAGTTCTGTTCTAGTTCAGTTCTAGTTCAGTTCTAGTTCAGTTCTAGTTCAGTTCTAGTTCAGTTCTAGTTCAGTTCTAGTTCAGTTCTAGTTCAGTTCTAGTTCAGTTCTAGTTCAGTTCTAGTTCAGTTCTAGTTCAGTTCTAGTTCAGTTCTAGTTCAGTTCAGTTCCAGTTCAGTTCTAGTTCAGTTCTAGTTCAGTTCTAGTTCTGTTCTAGTTCTGTTCTAGTTCTGTTCTAGTTCTGTTCTAGTTCTGTTCTAGTTCTGTTCTAGTTCTGTTCTAGTTCTGTTCTAGTTCTGTTCTAGTTCTGTTCTAGTTCTGTTCTAGTTCTGTTCTAGTTCTGTTCTAGTTCTGTTCTAGTTCTGTTCTAGTTCTGTTCTAGTTCTGTTCTAGTTCTGTTCTAGTTCTGTTCTAGTTCTGTTCTAGTTCTGTTCTAGTTCTGTTCTAGTTCTGTTCTAGTTCTGTTCTAGTTCTGTTCTAGTTCTGTTCTAGTTCTGTTCTAGTTCTGTTCAAGTTCTGTTCTAGTTCTGTTCTAGTTCTGTTCTAGTTCTGTTCTAGTTCTGTTCTAGTTCTGTTCTAGTTCTGTTCTAGTTCTGTTCTAGTTCTGTTTTAGTTCTGTTCTAGTTCTGTTCTAGTTCTGTTCTAGTGCTTTTCTAGTTATTTTCCAGTTCAGTTTTAGTTCTTTTCTAGTTATATTCTTATTATGTTTTGGTTCTGTTTGGTCTAGTTTGGTTTTTAATTCTAATTTACAAGTTCCTAGAATACAGATTTCAGTACTACCTTAATACTACTAGATTTTCATTTGAAATTAGTTAGTATTGCAATTACATTGACAGCAATATCTTTAATTTAAAATCTTGTTATTGTTTATCTGTTAAAATCAAACTATTTGTTGTATGCATCTGTCAACATAGACAGCTATTTATAATTAAATATTCATTAATTGTTTACTATTTTATTAAAGTATAATTATAAGGCATGTAAGTTTATTATATTAACTTTACAATGCTGTGCAATGCTTAAAATATTACTAGCAAGTAAACTATATATTTATTAAAGCAAATAAATAATTTGAAATTTTGCGCTTTTATGTGGATTGTATACAAATTGCGCATGTACGTCAATTGAATTTATCTTTGTAATTATCTCATTTAACCGCCACAATTTGTTAGGAACAAATTCTACATGTTAATGTTGTACGGGGTTTAGAACTTATAGAAATGTTTTAGCAAAGTGTTAAGGAATTTGAGGAAATGTTTTAAATTGTTAGAAAATTTAGAAATTGTTTAAAAATTTTTCTTAAAACATGTGAAATAAATGTAAAAAGAGACAATTAAATAAATATTTTGAAAATAATTTTTATAAATTAAATTATTGGGATTGATGAACGATCGCAGTTTATTGACAACAAAATTTTGATTTCAAATATAAAATTTTTTTTATTAATTTTAATATTTTTGTTTATTATTTGTTGTTGCCACCAAATTCAATCCACATATGACTTATATACAATTCATTCTTTGTCTGTGGTGTATTTGAGTTTGTTTTTTTTTTTATCAAATTGTTATCAGGCCGATAACAGGGTGTCCCATAACTGTCCCGTAGATAATTTAAACGTTTGAATGTGGCATAAACAGTTTCTAACGAGCGCTGCATTGAAACGGTTGTGCGAACGGAAAAATTAGTTAAACGAAATAAAAACAAATAAATTCAAAATTATATAGAAAAATGATTTAACACTTAATAAAAATAAAAAGTAAATAAAATAAAATTATAAATTTAAATATTTAATAAAATAAAAATGTCATTAAATGTCTTAGTTAAATAGAAAAATGTTAAAGAGTTTGTTTTAAATCAATTAAAATTCTATAAAAAAAATAAATAAATTATAATTAAATAATAGTAGAGAGAATAAAAAAAGTAAACAACATTGAAATGTTAATTATAGTAAAATAATAAAAAAAATATCTAATGAAATAATAAAACGTGCAACGTTCAAACAGAATTCTAATGATGATGATGTCGTCGTTCATAATAATGATGATGACGCTACAAAATAATTAAAAAAATCATATAAAAAAGTATTTATGTGAATACTAATACAAAGAAATAATATGGTGCGTTTGTATAAGTGTTATAATTCTTGGAAATAATTAAAAAGTGTTGGTGTATTGTGGCCCCTTGGGATAAGAAAGTACGTGTGCGTGTTTGTAAGCTGCATTTGCTTCAAAATTATCGCTTTAAATTCACGTTTATGGTTTCCATATCATTCATTATTCTTTCTTTAAAAAGTTTTTATTTGTTACAATTACTTCACTACTGTTTATCTATCTTTCGAATGCTTGCAGTCATTAGGTCCCCATTTATTATTCTGTTCTTTTTCTAATTTGTAAATAAAGTAAATGATATTGACGTTTGTCGTCGCTGTTAGTTTATTGTCCCTACAATTGTTTGTTTGTTTGTTGTTATTCTTCACTAAAGCTGCCATAAAATTGTTGCAGTTGCTCACTAAACTGGTGGTAGTGTCAACAATAATAATGCAGCCATATTACTATCGTAGTCATCATGTTGTCATTGAGTTTAATTAACAAAATGTCCTTTTTTCAATCGTATGCCAAAGGACTATAAATGTTTTTAATAACCTACACCACTATAGTGGGGAGGGTATTATGCGTTTGTGCTGATGTTTGTAACACCCAAAAATATTGGTCCTACACCCACCTTAAAGTAAACCAATCGGCTCAGGATCACATTTTGATTAGGATTTAGCTATGTTCGTCTGTCCGTCTGTCCGTTCGTGTGTTTATGTAAACTTTGTGGGCACTTTACAGGTTGAAATTTTCAACATAGTTTAATGATGTTTGGCACATACTCTTCTTTTGACCCAAGGACGAAGCCTATTGAAAATGAATATGTTGAAGCAGTTGATTTGTAGTTGCTTAAATTTGACATAAAAAAGTTTTTTATCAATTCTTATGAAATCACTTTAAAAAAATTGACAAAAATCTTTTCATAACCTACACCTTCGTGAGAAGGGTATATATAAGTTTGTCATTCCATTTCCATATTATAATTTTCCGATCCTATAAAGTATTCTGGATACTCATAGATAGCTAAGTCGATTAAGCTATGTCCGTCTGTCTGTCTGTAGAAATCAATTTTCTGAGGACCCCAGATATCTTCGGGATCCAAATCTTCATCATATCTGTTAGACATGCTTTCGATAAGCTTCCTATTGAAAATCAGCAAAATCGTTTCATAAATAACTGATATATGGGCAAAAATCGAAGACTACCTCTGAAAATTTCCTTAAATTGCATTAAAAACAAATGAACAAATGAATTATTATTAAATATCTATCACACTCCCGAAGTTCAAAGAGTTAATTCCATAATAAAGCCACGTCCCCATTAAAGATCGTCTTTTAAACAATGTTGCCGGGAGCTTGATAAGAAATACGCTAAAATGGACCTTTAAAATGGTGTTGGACACATATACGTATACGTATTATTTAATTTTTGCTGTCACAATATTACCATGAGATGTTAAATATTTCCTTCTTAATTAAATCATGTAAAAAAGACAATTTAGACGTTTTATATATCAATGACATTGACATTGAGTCTACTTTTCATAAATTCATAAATTTTTTAACAATTAAGAAATTCATAGAAGACTTTTCTAAAAAATATGGCAAAAATAGTTTTTTGTTGAATTTTTGCGAAAATAAAATTTTTAAGATTTAAATAAAGTTTCTATTAATAAATATTTTTTAACGAAAATTTACGTTTATATAGAATTTTTCATTTTTAATATGAAACTAAAATGAAATTATGAAATTTGTTATAACAAATCCCTCAATTCCCAAAAATGTGTTGAAAAATACAAAAAGTGGGATTTTTTAGTTTTTTTGTCCATAATATCCACGCCAGACGCTGGGTTATCGAAAATCATTACAGATTTATTAAGAACATTTTACGCCTTCTAAAATTGGTTACTCTAATTTGATATTGATTCTGCGATTTGAGATTCTTTGGCCCTATTTTTAATTTTAAATAAAAAATATACTTTTTTGGCATGCATCTGTTGCCCTTAGTATCAAAATTTTCGAAGTTCTTTTCAATTTATAATAATAATAAGAAGAAGTCTGTATTCGCCTTTGCCGAATCTTATACACCCTTCACCATAGTGTGTTCAAAAAAAAAATCCGCCCTATACGGCGGATCTAGCCCCCTAGAAATAATGGACCAATATTAACTATTTCAATAGGCTTCGTCTCTGGGCAAATTTAATTGAATTATCTTCAAAAGTTTGATTACAAGGTTTACAAGCCCTATTCGGGGGTTCAGTTGTTTGGGGTTCAGTTTGGGACGGACGGATGGACGGACGGACATAGCTAAATCAGAAAATGATTGTAAGCCGATTGGTATACTTTAAGGCAGGTAAAGGACCAATATTATTGTGCGTTACAAACATCAGCAAAAACCCAATATACCCTTTCTGTAGGGTATAAAAACAAAATGCATAAAGCAATGAAAACAACACACATCCAAGTACACGTTTTTCCAATAAGCAATGTTGTTGTTGCTTTTTTGTAAAAGCATGCAAAAAATGTTCTTTTTAATGAAATTTTCAGAGGTTGTTTTGGATTTTTTCTCATATCTCCGTTTTTTAAAAGCATGTCCGACAGAATTACGGAATATTTGGATCCCGAAGATATCTGGGGTCTTTTAGATTTTAACAGGCAGACAGACAGACATGACTTGATCGACTTCTCTATCAAAAAGGATCCAGAATATATGTATGTATATAATTTATAGAGTCGGAAAATTATATTCTGGAAATGGCAAACGGAATGACAAACTTATGGAACGTACTTTTTCCCCAAATTTTTTTCGATTTTTTTATACCCACCATCGAAAAAGATGGGGGGTATATTGATTTTGTCATTCCGTTTGTAACACATCGAAATATTGCTCATAGACCCATAAAAGTATATATATTCCGGGTCCTTATTAAATTCTAAGACGATCTAGCTATGTCCGTCCGTCTGTCCGTCTGTCCGTCCGTCCGTCCGTCCGTCCGTCCGTCCGTCTGTCTGTTGAAATCACGATAGGGACCACACGAGAAGAGCTAGACAGTTGAAATGTTGCACAAATATTCTCTATTGTTAAGGTTTGTTTGGTATTGAAAATGGGTAATATCGGTCCACTTTTTCGGATAGCCCCCATACAAGTGGACCTCCAAAAAACAGCTTCAACGGGCATAACTGCTTCAGAAGTACAAGTATGGCGATGAAATTCGACATAAATAAGTTCCATATGAGCAAAATCTTTCTACCAAATTTTTTCAGGATCGGCCCATAAATGACCCTACCCCCCATATAAGGTCCCCTTCTGAAAATGACTTTAACACTCATTACTGGCCCCAAAATGCAAGTATAGCGATGAAATTCGACATAAATAAGTTTCATGTGAACCAAAATCTTTTTACCAAATTTTTTGAGGATCGGTCCATAATTGACCCTACCCCTCATATAAGGTCCCCTTTAGAAAATTACTTTAACACTCATTACTGGTCCAAAAATGCGAGTATAGCGATGAAATTCGGTATAAATAAGTTTCTTACGAACCGAAATCGCTCTACGATTTTTTTTTAAGATCGGCCCATAAATTACCCTACCCCCCATATAAGGTCCCCTTCTGAAAATGACTTTAACGCTCATTACTGGCTAAAAAATACGAATATAGCAATAAAATTTTACCCAATTAAGTTCCTCGCGAGCCAAAATCTTTTTAATAACTTTAATATGGATAGGTCCATAATTGGCCCTTCTCCCCCTATTGGGTCCACTTCAGGAAATAGCTTTAACGCTCATTACTGTCTTAAAAATAAGAGTAAAGCGATGAAATGCTACACACGTAAGTTTCTTACGAGCCAAAATCTCGGTACCAATTTTTTTTTGGATCGGCCCATAAATGACCCTTCCCCCATATAAGGCCCCCTCTGCAAATAACTATACTGCTCATTACTGGCTTAAAAATATTAATGTAGTGACGAAAATTGACGCACATAAGTTTAATGCGTGCCAAAATCTCTCCACTAAATTTAGGGAAGATCGGTCCATAATTTACCCTACCGCCCATACAAGGTCCCCTTTAGAAAATTTCTTAAACGATAATTACTGGCTAAAAAATATGAGTTATGAAATACGGTTATGAAATTCGCTCCGAATTTCATGCGGAATGTGTCGGTAATTCACCCTACCCCCCCATATAAGCCCCTTTATAAAATTACATGAACGCTAATTGCTGGCATAAAAATGCGAGAACAGCGAATGTAAACAAGTTTTATATGAACCAAAATCAGTCTATAAAAAGTTATGAGGATAGGTCAACAATTGAACATACACCACATATGAGATCCTCTTTAGAAAATTTGATGAAGAAAACTCTGATAATTACAAGTACAGTACAAAATATTAAAAATTAATATTTTGTTAGTTCAAAAGAGCTCGGTCCATAATTGTCTTAAGCTATATTCCAAACATCACCCTGATGTTTATATGGGAGCATTCCTTTTACGGCATACGGTTTGATGGTGGGTATATGAGATTCGGCACAGCCGAATATAACACTCTTACTTGTTTAGAATTGAAATGGATAACTTAGAACTCTGTCAAGTTTTTAATATAATTTAATGTTTGATATATAAATTTGTTGTAAAACGAATAAAAGAAAAATAAAGTAAATCGGGAAATATTTGGAACCGCTGTTATCAAAAAATTGGAGTAGCTCGGTACAAACATAATTTTCAAAGTCTCTTATAAAAATATTGATGTTCTACCTGTAATAGTTTCTCTATCTACAATCTTCTACAATCCGTTGTCAAAAGTGAGCTTACCACGTTTGTTAATATTTAGACAACGGATGTGTATAAAATTTGTTTAACATCCAGTTATCATTTTGACAACCAGCGTTGTAATTTTGACAACGAATTGTTGTCATTTTGATTACGCTTTGTGTGATTTCAGCAATGCATCTTTGTGATTTCGACAACGCAACATTTTGTTTGACAATATAGCAGTGTCACTTTGATAACACATCGTTTTCACTCTTTTCGATGTAAGTAAATAAATATTACGAAAAAATTGAAATTTTCGTAGTTAGCCGCCGCCTGTCGTAGATTGAATCTGCGTTTATGATTTGACAACGTCATGTATTATTTATTATGTTTTTGTTGTTTCGATAATGTCGTGCATTTTTTATATTTTTGTTTTGATTTGATAACTTTCCATACATACATTGACAATGGATGTTATTGAAAAAATTTACATTTTGGTGTCAATTTGATACCAAGCGTGTATAATTTTAAAATGTCTTTTTCCCTCTGTGTACTTGAAATATCGAAATAAAATGTAGCCTATAGCTCCATCCAGATATATAGGAAGTCATTGTGAAAAATGTATATGTATTGACTTCAAACCCATGTTATACATTACAAAAATCACTAGCAGAGTGTATCTTTGTTAGTTTTTACTTACTTTTTAAAGTTTATAAATCATTTATAAAACATGATTTGATGATTTCACATTTTTAAGAAAATCACTAAGCAATCATTTTAACAGCATCAACTGTATATAAAGTAATTATTTAACTCTAATAAAAATAAAATTCTTTGAAAAAATTACTAAAAATGACTGCAAAAAAACCATGTCCTTCCTCACTAATGACTATTTTTTACATTAAGCTCTATAATTATCTTCATGTTCGTTACAGTTTCAAGTGGATTTAACTTTAATTCTTAAAGAAATAAAATGTCACTCTAGACAATTGTGTTTTCAACTAAAATATTAAAGAAGAAAAAACAAAACAAAGACAATTTATCAAGCTGGTTAATTGCAAATGATGTTACAAAACCAGGCATTAAATGTCACAAAACTAACAACAAAAATGTATCAACAACATCAGTGATACTAATAACAACAACACTTGCCAGGATAATAAACACAATCAATTTCAAGTCGAAGAAAAAGAGAGAGTTACCAACATATATAGACATCAGTCAACAACAATTTTCTTTGTGGTTGTTGTGTTGTTGGTTGTTAAGTGCTGTTGACAATTAGTTCTTCACAATACTCACACACACACACACTCTCAAGCCCATCTACCGAAAACCGGTAAAAGAATTATGTGTGTTAGAGGAAAAGGAAAGAAATATATAAACAACAGCAGCAACAAAAATTAAATGTAAGTATAAATAGAAACATTAACATACATACACATATACAAACTTATTTACTGCAATACAAATGTGCTGGTAGACACCCAGCAAACACAAGGTCAAATGTTGTAATGATGACATTTTTAAATTGCTATCAAATGTAATATAAAACTTCTTATTAAATCTCAAAAGAAAAATCTTTAGAAAAACTCCCGCTCATCAGTATTAAAGAAAAATCTTAAAAAGCTTTTAATTTCTGGGAAAAGTATTATTTTCTTATATTATTATCGAATTTTAAATCATTATCAAACCTTCTGATTACTGGGCTGTTTTAAGCAACAGTTACATAAGTATTTTAGTTGTCTGATTCAGTGTTAGTTTGTATTTTATCATACACACAGAAAACAGATCGATTGGAAATCGGTTACCATGATAAATATTTAGTTAAATTAATTAAAATTGTATCGCTGTTATTGAAAAACTGTATAATTAACTGATTTTCTATATTCAGTATTAAAAAACAATAATACTAATCGAATTGTGGTTTTAACAATTTCTAAATCAATAATTTGAACTGAATTGTATCGGTTATTAAATTCATTTGTCAATTCAGTAAATGCAGCAGACTTTTATTTTGGATTAAAATGTAAGAACATCAAATATTAGTCGCTACAACCGAAAAACAGTAGAAAGTAAAAAATATTAAGCACTGCAACCAATTATCAATTGAAAAAATTATTTAAAATTTAATTACGGTTAAAGAACCAAATTCGATGTTCACAACCGATTAATTGGTAATTATAGTTGACGTATACAAAAATAAATAAAATAAAACGAATTTATAATTAAAAAATATCTAATTACATTTGAGGATAAATTAATGCAGAAATTTCGATAAAAAAGGTAATGTTTGGTATATTTTATATTTTATAATCTATTTTGTGTTATTTTTCTATAATTTTTAATAATTTTACAACAGCGGAAAGGCGTGGAAAGATAGCGTTCCTTTGGAAATGTTGGACAGAATGAAGAGCAAAATCCCTGGTACATAAACGCTATGTTTATTAACATCAAAATCTTAAAACTAAAGGGGAGAAGTTGTTATTTTATATTTAAAAGTTTTGTAAGTTTAAACATATTCATATTTTTGTAAATATTTTAAACAAAATAAAATTTATTTTAAAATACACATAATCCACAAATTGGTTTTCAATAAATAATATTTCAGTTGCAAATACCAATAATTTCAATCCAGTATAATGAATAATAAATAAACATAGTTGTGTACACCATATATTCAGTAATACTAACCGAATTATACAATAATTACAATCGAATTTTGGGATAGTTGTTAGAACCGACTGAATTCGATTGGAAACAAATTCGGTTATCACAATGAATCTGTTTTCTCTGTGTATACATATGTAGGTTAGTATGTATGTATGTACCTTTTTTAAGAAAAAATTTCAATTCTATAGTATTATTGTTAATGAGCTTTACATTTTAAAGATATAGACATCCACTTTGAAGAAATACATATGACTGTTTACACCTTACACCACTTTAGTGGGGATGTTTGTAACACCCAAAAATATTGGTCCTACACCCATCTTAAAGTATACCAATCGGTTCAGAATCACTTTCTGCTAGCTATAAACACATCTGTGTGACCATGTAAACACTGTGCGCACTCTACAGGTCGCAATTTTCAAGGACCAAAGCTTTTGGCATTACATTTTAAAGATATAGACATCCACTTTGAAGAAATACATATAAATGTTTATACCCTACACTACTATAGTGTGTAACACCCAAAAATACTAGTCATACCCCCACCTTAAAGTATACCAATAGGCTCAGAATCACTTTCTGAGTCGATTTAGCTATGTCCGTCCGTCCGTCAGGTCGCAATTTCCAAGGTAATTTGATGAAAGACCAAAGTCCATTGAAAATGGTTAGAATCGGTCCATTATTTCGTATAGACCCTATTTGAGCTCATAAATATGTTAAATGTTTTTGTATTACTTCAAAAATAGACTTAACTTAGTTTCATATAAGTCATAATGAAATTGCTGATTTTTGTATGATCGGGCCTCATTTGACCCTATGACTTGATGGTCACTTATAAACACTAATATCACGATGATATTCTGCCTAAATAACTGATGTAGACGTAAATCCATATTAACCTCCCGCACCCATATAACCAATATTCCTGACTTAAGGTATAATTTAGACATTTCTGAAATACAATTAGAAAGTTCTGAAATATAATTAAAAATTTCTAAATTACAATTAGAAAGTTCTGAAATACATCTGGAAATGGTGTAGTATCTCTATAAACATTGACACAACATCATTTTGAATAAGACTTATTTGAGTTCTTTGTAATATACTGATGTAGGGTATCAATATAGTCGGGCATGCCGGATTATACAATATTACTTGTTCAAATTTAATTTTCAGTATTTTAGCGTTTAAGAATTTTAAATTATTTTTTAAAAATCTTGCTGTCAAATTTTTTTTACTTTTTTTACTTTTTTTTTTTATAAATTTGTCATAACTTAAATAATATACGAGGTTTCCCAGCAAAAACTTACATTGAAAAGAAAAGGCGTTAAAGTGGTAAAATTTACTTACACAAGAGCATTTTAAGTCATTATTTTGACACAGGCAGGACATTGGAGGCAAGTACTTACCACGCTCGCTTACACACAGGGAGTTAGGCAAGTACTTACTACAATCGCCTGCAAATAGGGAGTTAAGTAAGTAGTATTGTTTATGAAAAAAACTACGCCCACTGTGTCTATTGTTAGTTTTCACAAAAAAATATATATTTTTTCGTTTGTCAAGACTGAAAACTAAGTACTTACATAATATATTACTTGTAAGTTATTACTAGATTCATTTTAAGTAATGCACACGGTATGTAGTAGTAATTGAAAAGTACAAGCCATCACCATGTTTTTGCTAGGTATTTTGCAACTAACTTTACTGTAACCTTGCTTACATACAACAGCAAAAAAAACACACGCTCGATAAACTTACGGAAACGGAAACAATTTGAAAAAAAATATATAATTTATATTTTCTTTAACGAACAAAAACTAAATGTTATTTACTGTTATTCTAATATTTATATACTAAAATATACACTAATAAAAGTAGTTTGTGTTTTATAAAGCGAAAACTGAAACTTTTTGCAACATTAGGTAAAATGATATAAAGATCTAACATATATTTGTACGAAAATATACAAATTTACCAAATATCTACATAAATTATGTTAAATTAAGTTATACTTCATGCAAATAGTTATATGTATGTATATGTCTATTACCAATTACTTTAACTAAGGAAAATTGATGAGTTTTCTTAGAAAAGTTTTTCATAAGATTTGTTGGCAAAAGTATTTAGTTTCATCTAGAAATGTTCACACAATACATATTTCAAGGCCATTTCAGGAAAAACTTGAAAGCTATTGTAAATAATAAGAAGAATGTAATACGAATGGAAATTGTTTTAATGTTTGTCCTTAAAACAAAGAAGTTTTTTTTTACCTAAAATACATTAAATTTAATATTTAATTTATTTTAATGCAGACATATAATGTACATTAATGGTGTGTGTTAACATATTAGGAAATTATTTAAACCCCTTTTGGGTATACTTGTTAATAAATAATATAATATACAAAAAAAAAAAAGAAAGACAGATTAAAGTAGAACATAAAAAAGATTAAACTAAAATGAATGCAAATAAACAAAATTAATGTACAAATACACAAATAAATATAAACAAATTAGGGCAGTTCAAAATCCTCTTCAGGATTTACAGAATTAGAAAAACTTCCTGTAGAAATTTTCTATAGAAAAGCTTGCTCAGATTCTGAGAAATTTTATATAGAAAAGCTTTCTTAGATTCTGAGAAATTTTGTATAGAAAAGATTTCTCAGATTCTGAGAAATTTTCTATAGAAAAGCTTTCTATAGAAAAATTGTCTCAGATTCTGAGAAATTTTCTATAGAAAAATTGTCTCAGATTCTGAGAAATTTTCTATAGAAAAATTGTCTCAGATTCTGAGAAATTTTCTATAGAAAAATTGTCTCAGATTCTGAGAAATTTTCTATAGAAAAATTGTCTCAGATTCTGAGAAATTTTCTATAGAAAAATTGTCTCAGATTCTGAGAAATTTTCTATAGAAAAATTGTCTCAGATTCTGAGAAATTTTCTATAGAAAAATTGTCTCAGATTCTGAGAAATTTTCTATAGAAAAATTGTCTCAGATTCTGAGAAATTTTCTATAGAAAAATTGTCTCAGATTCTGAGAAATTTTCTGTAGGAAAATTGTCTCAGATTCTGGGAAATTTTTAATAGGAAAATTGTCTCAGATTCTGAGAAATTTTCTATAGGAAAATTGTCTCAGATACTGAGAAATTTTCTATAGGAAAATTGTTTCAGATTCTGAGAAATTTTCTATAGGAAAATTGTCTCAGATTCTGAGAAATTTTCTATAGGAAAATTGTCTCGGATTGTAAGAAATTTTCTATAGAAAAATTGTCTCAGATTCTGAGAAATTTTCTATAGAAAAATTGTCTCAGATTCTGGGAAATTTTCTATAGGAAAATTGTCTCAGATTCTGGGAAATTTTCTATAGGAAAATTGTCTCAGATTCTGTGAAATTTTCCATAGGAAAATTGTCTCAGATTCTGGGAAATTTTGTATAGGAAAATTGTCTCAGATTCTGGGACATTTTGTATAGGAAAATTGTCTCAGATTCTGGGAAATTTTCTATAGGAAAATTGTCTCAGATTCTGGGAAATTTTTAATAGGAAAATTGTCTCAGATTCTGGGAAATTTTTAATAGGAAAATTGTCTCGGATTCTGGGAAATTTTTAATAGGAAAATTGTCTCAGATTCTGAGAAATTTTATATAGGAATATTGTCTCAGATTCTGAGAAATTTTCTATAGGAAAATTGTCTCAGATTCTGAGAAATTTTCTATAGGAAAATTGTCTCAGAATCTG